ACTTTTGTCTCTTCCAAACAATTTTTGGCGCTTCCAACCCATTTCTTGTCTCTTCCAACCAATTTTTGTCACTTTCAACCAATTTTGGATGGTTCCAAGCAAATTGTTCTCTCACCACCAACTTTCGACTCTTCCAACCCATTTTTTGTCTCTTCCAACCCATTTTTGTCACTTTCAACCAATTTTGGATGGTTCCAAGCAAATTGTTCTCTCACCACCAACTTTCGACTCTTCCAACCCATTTTTTGTCTCTTCCAACCCATTTTTGTCACTTCCAACCAATTTTTGATGGTTCCAAGCCAATTCCATTTGTTCACCACCAATTTTCGACTCTTCCAACCCATTTTTTGTCTCTTCCAATCCATTTTTTGTCTCTTCCAACCAATTTTTGTCACTTCCAACCCAGTTTTGATGGTTCCAAGCAAATTCTGTTCTCTCACCACCAACTTTCGACTCTTCCAACCCATTTTTGTAGCTTCCAACCAATTTTTGATGGTTCCAAGCCAATTCCATTTGCTCACCACCAATTTTTGACTCTTCCAACCCATTTTTTCTCTCTTCCAACCCATTTTGTCACTTCCAACCCATTTTTTGATGGTTCCAAGCCAATTCCGATCTCTCACCACCAACTTTTGTCGCTTCCAACCCATTTCTTGTCGCTTCCAACCCATTTCTTGTCGCGTCCAATCCATTTTTTGTCTCTTCCAACCCATTTCTTGTTGCATCCAATCCATTTTTTCTCTCTTCCAACCCATTTCTTGTCGCTTCCAACCCATTTCTTGTCACTTCCACCCCATTTTTTGGTGTTTCCACCCCATTTTTCGTCTCTTCCAACCCAATTTCACCACTTCAACGCCGTTTTTAATGCTTCCACCACCTGCCACCACGTCCAGCGCCCCGCCAACAACGCCAACAACGCCAACAACGCCGCCGCTAAAACTCCTCCTCCTCTCCCCACCCACCCCCCCGCCCCCAAACAAAAAAACCCCGCAAAAGTCATGTTTTATTTTTGGATCTGGAATATAAAAAGCCGCAGGTTGATGTTCTTGGCCGCCAGCAGTTTGTTGCACTCCACCGAGTCGACGATGGGCAGCGCCATGTAGTCGGTCTCGTTGCTCTCGTTGCTGAAGACGAAGTGGTAGATGACCGGGTTGATCTTGACGTCGTCGTAGGGCCCCTCGAGGAGCAGGAAGGAGCATTCCATGGGCGAGTTGACCTTGCTCTTGAGGATCAGCTGGAAGCTCAGCGTGCGCTTGCAGGACAGGTTGGGGTTGCGCTCGGAGTCGTTGACGCGCGCCTTCAGCACCCACGTCTGGTTGAGCACGGTGAGGCGCGGCGTCTCGTAGTACAGGCGCGTGATGAAGTCGTCGGTGCGGTACGGGCGGAACTGCACCTCTGGGAAAATGGGGGAAAAATTCGGGATGAGAGATGGGAACAATGTTGGGATAAGGCAGGAATTGTCACTGAACTCCTACGGATTCATCGGGGTTGTAGAACGTCCCGGGAACCGTCATCAGATCCTACAAGGATTCATTAATTCACTGTTATCTTGCAAAATTCCCAGAATTATCAACGGATCCTACAAGGATTCATCGTTGTCCTACAAAATTCCTGGAATTATCAACAGATCCTAACGGGGTTCACCAGGATCCTACAAAATTCCCAGGATCATCATCAGATCCTAAAATCAATTCAACAGGATGCTCCAAAGCCAGGATCCCAGTCCATCCCAGTCCATCCCAGTTTGGTCCCAGTCCCATCCCAGTCCCTCCCAGTCCATCCCAGTCCCATCCCAGTCCATCCCAGTTTGGTCCCAGTCCATCCCAGTCCCTCCCAGTCCATCCCAGTCCATCCCAGTCCCTCCCAGTCCCATCCCAGTCCCTCCCAGTCCATCCCAGTCCCACCCCGAGCCCCCAGGTCAGGGATGAGGTCGTCGGTGCGGTACGGGCGGAACTGCACCTCTGGGAAAATGGGGGAAAAATTCGGGATGAGAGATGGGAACAACGTTGGGATAAGGCAGGAATTGCCCCTGAACTCCTACGGATTCATCGGGGTTGTAGAACGTCCCGGGAACCGTCATCAGATCCTACAAGGATTCATTAATTCCCTGTTATCTTGCAAAATTCCCAGAATTATCAACGGATCCTACAAGGATTCATCGTTGTCCTACAAAATTCCCAAATTATCAACAGATCCTACAAGGATTCATCGTTGTCCTACAAAATTCCCAAATTATCAACGGATCCTACAAGGATTCATCGTTGTCCTACAAAATTCCCAAATTATCAACAGATCCTACAAGGATTCATCGTTGTCCTACAAAATTCCCGGAATTATCAACAGATCCTACAAGGATTCATCGCTGTCCTACAAAATTCCC